CAGAAACTAGGACCACACCCCTCCGTACTTACAACATCTATGATATCTATGACTGTCGAGCACAAATTTCTGCACCTGCTCTTTAAAGTCCTTCAAAATTTCCCGACTTACTCTGTCCTTCATTTTCTTACTTCCTGCCCCTCCTGGGAGCCTGTGCCCACCTGTGGTAGAAGCACACACAGCTGGTCGAGGGCCAAAGCTGGTCCTGCTGCTGCTGCTACTTACTCCTTTGCTATTTCCATCAGCTCCATAGGCTACTGGAGGATGAGGGCCAGGATGCTTTGCTCTCCCACAGCTTCCTTGGGGGCTGGGAAGCTTTCTTTACTGCTTCCCTTTGGGGGCTGGGGGAGCTTTCTTTACTGCTTCCCTTCTTAAGCCAAAGTTTAGCTGACCCAGTTGGAGATGGCTCCTCCAATCTATCTACCCTTAAAATCCACTCCAGCCATGAAGATCCAAGGGAGACTTAGCTCTTTGTCTAAAGCTATCCTTTTAGGAAGGGACAGCCATTCATCCTCTCTCCCTGTCCTGACTTGGTGTGACATCAGGCTCGCTCCATAGAACACTCTTCCACAGCCATCTCCTGTATTCTGCATTCTTGAGGCGTCTCTTCAAGCAGAATGTACCTACTGAATACAGAATATGCACCTTCTGCTGGTCCATCTTTCCTTTCACAAATTCCACCACCTCCCTCCCTCCATGACTGGTGTCAACTGTGTTTGAAGCACAAAAAATATTTCTGGGATATTTCCTAGGTTCAAAATCATAAGAATATCAAGACCTGGTTACATGGAAACTGGAAAGTAGCCAAGCTCCTCGAATCCCCACGCCCTCGAATCTAAGACAGACAAGGGCCCCTATCAGCCTCGGGGTGTCCTGGAAGGTGGTATAGGACTGCAACTCCTCGGTAATCCCCTGGCGTCTGTAAATTCAGGTGAAGGGTCAAAACTGCAGGGATGGCAGCTTGCATTTTCCTCCTGAGGGCTTGAATAACAGGCACGTGGTATCACGCACATTTTACACAGGGCTGGGGAGTGAACTCAGGGCTTCATGTGTGCTAGGCAACAATCTTCCAACTAAGCTACATCCCTAGGAGGAAAGTAACTTTCTAAAACTCAGTGTAGTCCCTGTGTTTTCAAAAATATACTCTATTTACAATAGAAAGTTGTGGAGAAAAATTAAAGCTTCAAGAATGTCCCAAGAACTTAAAATGGCCTGTGATCATTTGTGTACTTAACACTAGCACTTAGGTATTGAACTGTGTGTGTGTGTGTGCGCGCGCGCGTATTCATATATGTGCTTGTAGATGTGTGTGTAAGCCAGAGGACGACACTGAATGCTTTCCTTAATCACTTCTCCGACTTACTTTTTGAGATATGGACTCAGAGCATGGTTACTGAGCTCAGAGCGCATTGATTAATCAAACTGGCTGGCCAGTGAGCTCTGGAGATCTGCCTAGCATACATGAAGGTCTTTGCCTTCCCAGGGTAGCATTTCAGGAACACACAACCATGCTCAGCCTTTTTTATGTGGGTGCTGGGACACCTGAACTCCGCCCCCCCACCATGCTTGCTCAGTAAGCACTTTGCTAAGTCATTGTGTTAACTCCATGACAGAGGTTCTGAACAGTACCCACAGCCACGGGCACTCAGGCTTCTGTCCCTCAGCGTGTGGAGTACTTACCATAGCAAGAGTCCGTGACTGAGCAGGAGGCAGCAAAATCTATCTGCAGGAATGAGTCCTCGTTCACGGCAATGTCTGTGGTGACCACGTAGCGGGTGCTGGCCTTTTCAATGAAGACAAGGGCATCGCCTGTGGAGCCACACACGGGCATCTTGGTGCCCCCTGGGTGAAGCAGCCACTTCCTGCTGTCCAGAGTTGAGAAATCATCTTCCAGGACTGTATTGCCAGAGATGTTTCCTCCAATGAGAATCTGAAATGCATTTTAAAACACCCCACATTTTGGTTTTAGCGTACGGAAGAGTTCGGTTGTTTTTGTTTGTTTGTTTTGAGCCCCGAGCTGCCTCAGAGTGGGTGTTGTACGACAGCATAGGGCTGGGGACCTTTGAGAACGCTTTTGTTTCTGGGGTCTGCCTGCCCATCTGGCAAGGAGCCGCAGAAAACAAACCCAAGGCCTGACCACGCCATCCACAGTCGTTCGTGGGCCAACTTGTGCCTTCGGAAAGCGCACGTCGCCAAGCTGGGAGGACAAAATTTTGGCTTGCCTGTGATTATTTCTATTTAGGGACAGTCACGCCCCGAGGCATTTCAGCTGCAATTCTCTGCTTGAGCTCCACTGTTGGCGAACAGGGTCCCTGAATTCTGTTTGATACGCTGTATTATGTATGAAGATCCTTTACAGCGGTCCAGAAAGATGTCGGGGGTGGGGTGGGGAGGTTTATTTATTTATTTTTCATCAAAGGCTGGAAAAGAGGATTTGCGACCAACTGCATGTGGCCCCAATGCTGATTTGCATGCTCTCCTTTTCAGAGAATTATAACCTAGTCTCACGCTTGATAAAGTCCCTCTGTCCATATGGCAGCATCCTCTCTGAGCTCGACCTGGGCCTTCTGTGGTGCCATTTGCTTTTTATAGGCATAGGAAATTGGGGGTGTAGAGAATGACAGGAAAGCTAAACACCATATCTAATCTAGCCGTGTGCCCTTGGGCAAGTCATTCGATCCGCCCAGGCTTCCACCAGGACCGCGCTGGACAACCGCACTCTCTAAGGTCATAAAAGTTAAAGCAGATAATTCCGAAAGGACTGACCTGGTCGATCACCCAGGGGCTATAGAAGTGCCCATTTTCAGACGGCTGCCACCAGCGGAGGCGCGTGGAAGCAGAGCGGGCCTTCAGGGGCATCTCCAAGGCGATGTACCTGCCCACGTTGCTGGAGTTGCTGAAGAGGAACTCTTGAAGGAGACTCCAGGAGAGGCCGCCATTGAGAGAATACTGTAGAAGCACGGGCTGGCTCCTGGGGTCTGGCACACCTTTACCACAGCCCAGTCTCACGAAGAACTGCACAAACCTGACACCAGAAGACTTTACTGTAGACTTTGACTTCAAAGAGAAATTCGCCTCGCCAACAAAAGGCAAGCACCCTGGGCGGCGTAGGGGCAAGGGGCGGCTTTCATGAACGTGACGATTTAATGAGCGCCCCAAACAATCGCTTCCAAGCTTAACTTTCCTTTCTAATGTGAATGAGAGTTAATTAAATGCGCAGTGTGAAAAATGGCAGTTCTGGCTCTAGTTGTACCTTGCATCTCTTTTCCAAGGGGCCTGGGGAAAGTGGAGTTGAATGCCATTGCATTCTTTGGCTACTTTATAAGATGCTGGGAGAGATCCAAAGGCTGTTCAAGTCTGAGAGTGTATTGTTGTCTGGTGAAAACAATTGGATTTCGGTCTTCAGTATTTGAAACTAGAAGAACGGGAAAGTCATCCAATCCCTACGAGCCTTGCGAATCTTGTATCGCTGGCCTTAGGAGACACATCTAAGTTCAGCCGTGGTAGCTCCTCTTTTCAGGAGAGCAGGCCACTTTGGGAAGAGCTGTGCTTAGCCTAGGCCTCGTTTCTGTCTTCTGTGTCAGGGGAGGGAAAGGGTGAGTGTGGGATGTTGGTGGGCTGAGCCAGACTCTGACTGTTGCTGGGCCTGGGTGCAGGTGATACTGGCTGCCGAGAACTGTGGCAGCCGGCCAGTGGCAGCTTTCCTAGCTGGCATGGAGGTGGTGGACAGGGTGGCAGCAAGCAGCTGGGGTGCCAAGGAAAACTGGTTCACATGTTATCTTTGGCAGCCAAGCTGCTGGTGCCTGGCCTGGCCACTATCCTGACTGGTAAAGCAGAATGAATTCCACGTCAAATTCAACATACCTACTCAGTAATGTAACAGGACAGATAATAAATGTTATCAGTATCATACACAGCGCCGTTCATCTCTCACAGTTCCCCAACTTCTACCTATTTATGCCGTGGCTCCGCAAACACTGTGATCTTAACGCTGAACATTTTAAGGTCAATATATGCAAATCCCACACAGCATGCAGCTAGCCGAGCTATAGAATGCAGCTTTTAACATCTGATTAAGGGAAACATGCATTGTTAGTGCCTAGCGATGTCTACATGAGTAAAGATGGTATTTACCGAGGAAGAACTGGGTATATTATCTGCTTGTATGGGAAAGATGTTTACATTAATTTAGTGATAGAAACACCAAATTACTGCTTAGAAAATTACTTATTTAGAAAAACTTAATTAACTTCTAAATTAGAGAACTTGGCTGCTATTAAATCTGACATGAAGAATATCAAATTAAACTGTGTGCATTAGGATGGAGTAGAATAAAGGTTTGCTTTTAGTAACTACACAATTATTTCAGATAGAATTGTACTTTCGAGAAGTGTATTATTTATGATCAATAATTGAGAGAGCCAGGAGAAAGAGGGAATGTTAGGATGCATTTTAAAGTACTGGGGAAGGTTTTACAAATAAACCTGTTTGCCTTGCTCATTTAAAAATAGGTCAGGGGTTGCATTTTGCACGCGTTAAGCTGTATCTTATGTTTTGCGGTTAAGGTTTTGGCTCGTCAAGTGATTGAGGGATATACACTGTGACAACGTAATCCTCCGAGCCAGTTAAAAACGCTTTGAGTGACCATGCTCAATTTAGAAAATGACTTCTCACAATGCTAGCGAAGCATCGGACTTACGGAGACTAAGTCTGCACTTAAAAGACGCTCAACGAAATTTGCTAATGGAGATAAAATTAATCATACATAACTTGAGGACGCACTGCGCTTCAACTGAGCTTCTTGTTAAGACGATAGAATAAATGTGCATATTTTCTCCAGAGTTCAAGAGCTGATGAAAGTAGTCAGTAGAAGGTGGGCAAAGAAGATGCAATATGATTCTCTTGAAGTTAGAGTAAGTTAAATATCATTATGTCCTGGATTATCCAGGATCAGCTATTAGGTTTGTTGTTGTTGCTGTTTACCTGTGTTTCACATGTGGGGATCTGAGCAGAGAAGTCTAACGTCAGCATGGAAGGTACTGCCCCAGAGAGCTCCCTGCTTCTGCTTTGACAATGTCCATAATTACAGTTACCTGGCATGTGACAAGTCCAGGTCCCGAGTCACCAGCATACGCAAGCCATCCTCATTGAAGAAGAGGTTGTTCCCACTGGACAGGATCCCACACTTCCTAGAAGGCTTCGCGCCACTCATCAGTAAGAATCTGTCGGATTCCAGTTGACCTGGGAAAGTGGAGAAACGTGGTTTGACCTCTGACCGTCAGTGCAGCTGCGTTATATTTTCAAAGAAACATGACTAATGTGTCATGCAGCTTAAAGATGCAAAGCCATAAACACTGAAGCCATTTGGGGGATAAAAGGACTCTTTATAATAGGAACTTCTTCAAAGTTTTGGCCCTTGATTAATACAAAGGGTCACGCACCGGAGGAGGGTCTTTTCCCAGGTATCTGTGGCTCACCCACGTAAGCCCCTCCACATCGAACAGAAGGAGGAAAACTGGGTATCAGGAAGTGGATGAAGCCAGACGGGAGACAGGGAGGGCACACACCCCACCCGCGATGTCTCCACTCTAATGCAAGGGCAGTGTCCGAGGAATAACACAGTATCTTTTAAAGGTGATTTAAAAAAAATTAAAGAAATTTAAACATAATTCAATAGTTGCTGTTGGATGTCTTTCAAAGGCAGTTCTCAAATGTACTCAGATATGCCCCTTAGAGGTAGTTCGTTCTTTCATTGTGGTAAAATACACAGAACATGTTTACTGTATTAACAATTTAACCGTGAATAATCCAAAGGTATGCAGTATATTCCTGATGTAAAACCTTCACCAGCAACAGCTTTAAGGTTTTCATTCCCCAAGAGGAAGCCTAGACCAAAAAGCATCCTTCTCTACTGCATCTCTGGCAACCAGACACTCTGTTTTCTACATCCAACGAGTGACTTATTTGGTATGTTTCACATAAACAGAACATACAGTGCATGTATCTGTCTGGCTTCTTTTATTTATTATATTATTTCCAAGGTTCATATACATTGTAGCATCTGCCAACAGTTCAAATGCTTTATGGCAGTAAAATGTTTCATCTTACATTTGTACCTAAATCTGGTTTTAATTTGTATTATAAAACCATGAATATATTAAAAGTCTTATAGAAAATAGAGAAAAACGAAGTCTTTTGGGTCTGATTACATTAACATAGATATGGTGGTATATTCGACCATCATATGAAGATGTTTAATCTAATGTTTGGGAATAGTGCATCTACAACTTAGATGCTCCCCAATTGTTAGTTTATAATATTTGTTTTTCTCTGTTGTAACACTATTATCCCATGTAGTGATGTCAAATTCTGGGTTTTAAATGAAGGTGTGGAAAGGAGGAGGGGTCGCCTGAAGAGTTGACAGAACTTGGATTTCTGAAAAGTTCATTCCTATATCCAAGCTTATCCTCTGGAAATATTCTCTCAATTGGCATTTGTCAGAAATTAGTTGTAGTACAAAAAGTAGTGCAGATATAGTAGTTGTGACAGGATGGACAAGACCCCAACACGCCCAGCAGGTCCCAGCATGGAGAAGGGAGTTGGGCGTGAAGGGTCACCCTAGCCAAGACGCCACCAGCAGATGTCAGTGTTGAGAGGCAGAGGCATGTTTCTCTGAGTACAGCCCCTGATAAAACCTCTTCCCAATGGAAGGCCCCACATTCAAGACTGTTGGGGCCGTAGAAACTTGGTAACTAAAGGTTTCAAAGCTGGTTGGGAAGGGAAGAGGGTGGATGGACAGACCTAGGGAGTGTTGGAGCAGGGAGGTGAATATCAAAACACTGTGCAAAACTCTCAAAGAACTAATAAATGCATTTTAAAAGTTAAAAATAAGTATTTAATTATTATACAATATAATTAATTAAATATATATTTATTATATATAATATAATTAATTAAAAATTTGTTTTATTTTTTTCTTATAGATTCTCATGTGTATAGCTTATCTCATCATTAGTATCAGGATATTAACGATACAACATAGATGTTGAAAAATAAAAGAGTTTACAAAAACATGGTGAAAATAACCTTTAGCTATCAATCTTATAGCTTATTCTCCCTGACTAACCATGGTTTCAAATATAGCCCTATCAATACAGAAAGGAATGGACTTTCGTGTATTTGCAGTTGTAACAATAATTATTAAAATACGCACGAGTGGTTAAATTACCATCACAGCTTGGGCCTACATGCAAACTCTTCCAAAACCTACCCGGGATTTAGGAGAGAAGCTTACCTTCAAAATCGTCTTTGAGGAAGTCAGGATTTTTGGTGCTTATTTTGCAGGTTGGACCAGAGTAGCCTGGGTCACAGATGCATTTGGTCCCATTGATGCAGCTCCCATGCCCACTGCACATCTCTTCGCACTGGGGACCAATGTAGACATTGTCGATGGCCCACGTGACAGGCTGCGAGCCGGCAGGGTAAAATCCCTGGTACCATCGGAAACGCACGGACCTGGAAAACACGCCCGAGAGGCTCAAAGTTACTCAACAGAACAATACATCCTTAGCGCATCTGGTCCATAAACAACGGGAAATTCCTACTGATGTATCAACTCAAGAGGAAGGAAACACCGCTAAAGAAAAGAGAAGAAAATGAGACTTGCCACTTTCCTTTTGAAGGTAGGGTTACTGTTTCTCTAGAACCTTCTGAATTTTACCAGTTAGTGAAAACTGCTCCTGATCTTCCTACCCTTCCAACACCGGCTCCCTTGGTGAAGACTTCTCAACACTCTGCATAACTATCCTAAAAATAAGCCCGACGTAAAACCAATGAAACATAAACTCAACCCTGATCCACTTAAAATGCACAATCCTGTGACACTTACACACCACCGATGCTGTCTACCCTTATCGAGTTCCAAGGCATTCCTGCACCCTGAAGAAAACCCCAGCAGCCTTTCCACATTTTCTCTTCCCAGGCAACGGCCAGTGCCCTTCCTCTCTCTGTGGATTTACCCCTCTGAGTCTGCCACAGCAATGAAACCATGCAACCTATGGTTTGTGTTCAGTGACATTCACTCAGTGTTAATGTCTTCAAGGGCCATTCACTTCCAGCAAGTACCAGATGTTCCTCCTCTTGACGCGCCATCACCGGGATTTACAGGGATTTTTCAGCTCACTCATTCATTGGTTTGATTGTTCCCACCTTTGGGCTGTGGAGAACAGGGCTGCTTGTGAACATATGGGGAGTGTTTGTTTAGGTCCTTTTCGGCTCTGGGAAGGATGGTCGTGGAATTGCTGGGTCTTAGGTACATGGGCACTTTTCTGCAATGGTGATGGCGTTTCCATCCTTACAGTACTACAGCCGGAACAACTGGCGTTACTTAAAACACGCCAATGTCTTCTATCAGCAGAGAGCTTGTAGCAGCTGACGTCTATGCCTCCTTTAGCCTACCATTTCATGGCACCCAACATAGTGTTTCTGACACAGTAGTTGCTCTTGAGGTCAGCCTGGATACAGAGAGAGTTCTAGACCAGCATTGACCCTGTTTCAAAAAAATACAAAGACCCCCAAACTAACCTAACCAACCAACCACCACACTGCCCGCAGTTCCCCAAGACAACAGCATCACCGAAACTGGCAAACGAATTATCTTATAATGTTCTTGGTGACAATCATGTCACTGGAAATAATCTATGTATTTAACTAGATTAACCAAAAGTCCAGAATAACATATTTTTAAAACATGTCTAAAACTCAGTTCAAAGAAGTCGGAATTATTTTAGAGAAGATGGGCACTGAATAGATCCTGGGTTCTTCTTTTTGTGCCCTGTGAATCTATCCATCTTCTGGTTATCACACAAGCTCCATTCTGGATAGTTTTCATTTGACAAACTAATTAGAAGTGAAGGGCTGGGCATGGGTGACGAGAAGGAAGTTTGTGAAGCTTCTGCAGCGTGGCAGAGAATAAGGTAGACGTAGTCAAGTTCTCACATATAGGCGCATTGTTTATATCAGGAGCTCAAAATGCCCCCCATGCCAATACATAATTAAACCAGGTTCTCCTAGACTTGTCAAAATTTAGTCTTGGCAAAAGCACTCCTTACCTTTTGAACTCTCAGACTGCTGAGCTGAGGGAAACGCTCGGAGTTTTCGTTTTAATGAAAGCCTACATGGATTCTTTTTTTGAACTTATTTATTCAAATGTTCTGAATACAAATGAGCCACCTCGGCTGGACATTTGTTTGTTAGTGTTCGCCCACCTTGGCACAGAAACCACAAGGGCTGTGACAAATGGGCTCTAGCCTGCTTTGGCTGTGGTTCCCTTCGGCTGAACTCTTACTCTGAAAAATGCCCATTGTCATCCTCTTTGCAAATGTCAGCACCTGCTCCCCAGTCAGCCCTGCTCAAAGGGTCTTCTCTTTAAAATACACACTTGAAATTTCAGGTACGTCACCTTGTCTCCATCATAAAAATGCATAAAGCAGAAACAATTGGGACGTTCTCGGAGAGAAAGACTCTAGACCGAAAGACACAACGGTGATGTGAATAACATTAGGTGAAAATTCAACGTGTGTTTTGAATGTAAACATTATGTAGGGGCTGTTGATTTGAGAGTGGGGGCATGGAAGGAACTGGAGGGAGGGGACACTGGGGGGCTGGAGGGAAGAGAAGGAAGGGGCAAGTGATACGATTATATTTTAGTTAAAATGTAAAAAAATGTAAAAACTTAGCACTGAAAACAAAGCCGTATATATTTCAGTGTGTGTGTGTGTGTGTGTGTGTGTGTGTGTGTGTGTGTGTGTGTGTGCATTAAGTAAGTTAGCATCACACACACACACATACACTTTAGCAGTTAGTATTTATGCTACTGTTATGTCCCATGATGAATACAAACCACAGAATGGTTCACTGCGCTGGAGAAAATTTCACTTTTGCCTTCCAGCAATTCAAGCCTGTGTGGGCTTTAAGAACAAGACTAATTTTTTTTTCTTGAGACAAGGATGAGGCAGTATTATGAAGACAATTCTTCCCTCCGCAGATATGACTGAAAATAGTTTGAGCTGATAGAGTTCCGAGTGTGGACATGACACCTGACCCACTTAAACCCATTTCATAGACATAAAATGACATGGTATACGAGCAACACACAGTCTCAATTCTTTACATTCTGAAGGCCTTTTTTCTTTCCAAAAATGGATTTCCTCCAGTGGGTGAAATAGAGATATCTGTGTTTTCTTTGCGCACATGTCCAAGATAAGCTGCTATGCTTTATGTGGCCCAGAGGAAGCCGGCAGTGAGGTGCGGCCCCGCCTTTTGGTCCTCCTGGTGTGGGCAGCCTGTTCTGCTTTTCACTCACAGATCTCTTGGCTGACTCCACATACTTCAGGTAAGATTATTTGCACGGGGAACTTGCTGAAGCATGTCTTAAGCGGTACGCCACAGTCATGGCTACAGCCTGTCTTGGGTCTGTTCTTAACTAGGAAGTCAGAGAATGCAGAAGCCCATGGAAGAGGAGACTGGGTACTTCATAGCATGCACATGATGGGGTCGATCTGAAGTGTGTGTTTCACTCTGTTTCAATGATTACAAAAATGTAACATGAACTGTGTACCTCATAAATGACAACATCTAGTATTTTTTAATCATGGTAGAAGTTGAAGATCAAGGAGCTAGCACAGGGCTGCTAAGGACTTGTTTTAAGGTTCATACTTGATGCTATCTAGCTGAATTGTGTTTTCCTGTGATACAAGAGGCAAAGGGGTTTTCTGGGACCTCCTTAATGAGAGCTGTAATCCCATTTATGGCTTAGTGACCTCTCCTAAAGCCACTCTGTCTAATGATATGACCTTAAGGGCTAGGATTCCATCGTGTGAATTTTGAGGTGACACAGTCAGACCATAAGAGAGTCTAAGAGGTTGAGCCCCAGGCTTTTCCCACGCCCAGGCTGTCTAAGAGTTCTCCCAACTCTTGACCTACCTGACTATTCAGATTTTCTATTTAGGAGACTTGGAATCAAGGGTTCCAGGAAACAAGAACCATGATCTATTTGATGTTGATGGCAAAGTGATAAACACAGGACCACAAAGTTCCTGGCATCTTTTCATTAAATCCTTCCGTGTTCTAAGTGGAAAATGACTGACTTCAGATAGACCCATTTTTCTTTCTGCTGAGACACTGTCCCCTGTCTATTTCTTCTGTGAACATCTCTCCTGAGCAATAGGGAGGTCAGCACCAAGCTGGGTGGTGTCCTATCATTTCTGTGAGCTCCAGAATGTCTCCTCACCCCCTATGATTTTCACTTAGAGTCTAGAAGTCGTTCTGTCTAGTGATACCAGCGTGTGAAGAAAACACTGGGTGTTCTACACTGCCTTCATGTTGTATCGAGTACCACAGACAACAGGGAATATTCAAGGTCTTAATAATCAAATAATGAGAACTGCTCTAGCGAGGTGGTGAAGGGTGGGTGGGTTATGCTTCAAGACAACGCTAACTTTTGAAAATGCACTTTCAATCTTTGCAAAGAGTACCAAGTATTAGTTTTGTTTACAGACAAAAGAGGTCTAATTATGCCTAGTTTCACACAAGGATGAAACATCCATTTCCATCTCGAAAGTACGATAGCAGTACTTTCTTCTTTTTGATATACACTGAGAAAAATGAACATTATTCTAAAACAGTCGTTTCCAACCTGTGGGCCATGACCCCTTTGGGGGTGGAATGACCTTTCCACAGAGGTAGCCTAAGACCACCGGAAAAGCACAGATATTTACATTACAATTCATAGCAGTAGCAAAACTCCAGTTATGAGGTAACAACGATATAATTTTATGGTTCGGGTCACCAGAACATGAGGAACTATGTCAAGGGGCACAGGTAGGAAGGATGAGAAACACTGTCTCAAAGAAACTGACTCCTAGGCTGTCAGCTGCATCGACCCCTCCTCTCCGTCCTTTCCTCATGGTGTAAGCTTTATTTTTGGAAACTATGTCTTCATTTCCTCTCTCTGAGAGGAGAAGTCCTTTATCTGTAAGCAGCTTTTCAACAGAAGAGACAAGTAGAATGTTACAAGAATGCTGAGAGAGGTTGAAAAAGTAAAAACACCCAAGGGGAAAAAGTGGTTTTGTTTTTTTTTTTTTTTTTTTTTATGAGATGCCCAGAACTGGCTGTGGGCTTCCATCTTCCATACATGCCCACGGGGGTGTGTATCAATGCATTGCATTTTTTACGGTATTTATAGCGTGAGGTGAGGGCCCATGGGAAGAGGGTCAAAATAATGAGAAAAATATGTTTTATCTTGCTTCCTTTTGATTTGTGAAGGATGCATGGGAAACGGATCTCAAGCTACGCAATCCACAGCACGCTCTTCAGTTCACCCTTAAACTATGCAAGAGTAGCTACATTGTCTCTTTTTCCTGCCTTAAACGTCTACTGATCTGTTTCAAGCTAGATCCGAAAAGAAATACAAAGTGGGATTTTCTTCCTGGAAAGGGCAAGTAAGTGACAGATGTCAAAGGAAAACCACACGTGGTGCCAGGCGTCAGACCCTCACCCGCAAAGGTGCAGCTTCCCGAAGTGCACGACTTCCCTCCGCCAGCCCTGGGTGGTCCCTGCGTAGTAGGTGCTGCTGGGGTGGTGCTCGGTGGAGCATAAGGAGCTGACGTGGACGCTGCTGTGGTAGCAGAGGGGTAGCAGCAGGTGCCAGGTGGCTCCGAAGTCCCTGGAAAATTCCAGTCTGACAGGATCAGCAGACGAACTATCAGTGGAGCATCCGACATTGATCTTGGGAGGCAAGAAAAAGTGGCACAGATGATCACGGAGCAGCAACTGACACCAGCCATATCTCCTGGTGCCAATCTAATTCCCGGCAAGTGTCTCACTGAAATATGTAACTCTGGAAGATCGACTTTGCACAAGGGACATTGTATATTACCTTTAAATTACACCTTCTTCATAAGGAACCTAAAAACGTCTCATAAAAAATTTTTCTCTCATCTTACAAGAAACATAAAATGGATAACATAAAATGGATAACTCCAGATTTTACCTTTGGCCTACTTTTTCTTATCATGGGCAACTCAAGAAAATAAAAATGAGAAGAGTTTTTTCTCCCTAACAGTTCCCTTACCAGTTTACTAAACAGTGACCTTCTATTTCCTTCTCATGACACCTGATAAATACCCCAAAAGCTTTCCCCTTCAACATACACTCAGTGTAAAAACAGAACAGAATACAATTGTTGCTATTTTTATTGACTAGGAAAGATGTTTCAAAGTTGGAGATATTCAGGACCGACAGGATTTTGAGATAGCCTTTGTGGTGAGAGGACAGTTAAGAAACTCAGTCCACTCACTTCTGCAGCTGCTCTGTGCATGTCTTCTTCAGCACGCATGTGCCTGGTGTATGTCAGAGAATCTAAGATCTGCTCTGTCGTTCCCAGTACGTAATACAGTGTCTTCAATTCTCGCCCATGTGCTAACCTAACACAGCACCTAAAAGCCTAACCCACACGTTGGACACTGGATATCTAGATTCTTTTTTCAATCTAATGGCAATTTGCAACCTTTGACCTTTCCCCTTCTTCCCGCTCCATCTGTCCATCTCCCTCTCTCCCTCCCCTTCCTTCCTGATAAGCCTCTTTCTGCTAAATGCATGAGAATTTTTCTGTGCCATATCTCATCTTTCCAAAGAATATTTTCTTGCTATCATGCCACTATGGTAACTGATTATTAAAATGTAGTGAGTGGAGTGGAGGGGGAAGAACACAAAGTAGGGTGTGTGTGTGGTTATCTCTCTATCTTCTGATGAATAAGCAATTGGGACTTGATGAGCTTTTGACGAAAATGCTACCTTTTCTTAGCACGTAAACCACAGATATCAGCATGACGTCTCTTACCACCTAGAACGCTGGCACAACAAACCTTTTATTCTGATGACTTTACTCAAGTGTTTCAAATATGCAGATGCTTTGATTATGGATTTAGTTTCTTGACAAATATAAGGAATGCATGAAATGACAGCTACACATAGTAAGTATATTAATACTGTACAAATGTGATACTGTTTTATATGTAAAATTCACAGTATGATAAACATTCTGTATGTCTGCTGGTACCGTACAGACTATAGTTAGAGTGACCTAGGTCCTAACAAATTCTAATTTTATATAAGAACTGTAAAAGATAACAAGACCACAAGAGCATTCCTTCACATTTTTTTAAATTTTAAAGTAATAAATTTCAACACTTGCTATAGTGGATAGGAGGGAATGTATGTTACAAGTAACTATTTCTGAAACACACATTAGTGTAATAAATTGGTCTGATAATAAAGTAAGCTATGACCCACAGACCTTTGATGACTTTATACACAACTAGGAAATCACAGTGTGTGAAATTATCTAAGACTTCCTTCTTCCTGCTGAGGTTTTGTTCAAGGTAAGACGTAAAGCGTTCCCAATAGGACAGAGTCAGTACCTCAAACTGGATGATGGTGTTCTCGTTTACGCTTAGGTCACGGGTGGTGATGGAGTGCTCACCAACTTCATTGGACACAAACACCATGGCTGAGTCTTCCTCGCTGGTCATCGGGAAAGCAAAGGGAAATTGTTTAGGCAAAAATTCCTCCTGATTTGTATGGAGCAATGATTTCCCTTTCAGCTTTTCAGCCTAATACTTACGGAGCTCCCTTCGAAGAATATGGACAGTAAAGACCGATGTTACCCCCTGGGTAGAAAAACCAGTTGTCTTCTCGGGGCCCAAAGTCGAAGGTATCCAGGAGCATCACAGGGTTGTTCAGATTGTTTCCGTCGACAATGAAGTCATCAACAATCCAGATTTCTTCTTTCTTACCTGAGACAGTTTTAAATAAGAAAATTGGATTTGCTCATTGAAAGAAAAAAAAAAAAAGCAACTAGCAGGAGAAGCCGAGTGGCAACAGTTTCAGCATATGGTTCCCAGACGAAACGCACAAGCCACATGGCAGCACGTTCACAGCGATCAAAGTGTGAGGAAAAGAAAGCTTGTAGCCATATGAGACGACAGAGCACAGAACAGCTGTGTTAGCTCAGGGAGGGCCGGTGAGCGGCTTGTGCATACGCCCTGGGCTTCTAGTTCGAAGCCTGTGGAAGTGGAACCATCCACCTCTGTTTCTCTTCACTCCTACTGTGGCCCTAACTCTAGGAGCTTTCTATTGTCTTGGTTTGAAAGTGTTTGATGAATATAATAAAAAAATAAAGTAAGCATTTCAAATGTAACATGAGGCCCAACATTGTCTGGATTTTGAAACTGGGTGTATTTCTTTTCCAGAGTGGTGTTTGATCCTTAAGTAAAATTCATGAGTATAAAATATCAGGTAAAAATATATTTATAACATGTACACTTTATATAATTTCACCTGCATTGGATATCTTATACATATGAATCCATTTAAACAAAAATCTACCATGATTTTATCTATCTTACAACATGTTGAAATTTTTATTTCAACTTATTTACTTACTAGTCATAAAAGAAATACATAGGTTAAATTTTAGAGACAGAAGTATATTTTTCCTACTCACTTCTGTTACCTCTGCTTAATACATTGTCATTGTACTTAATTAGGCAGTTAGGTGCATGTTTTTGCAAAATCTGGCCCTTTAGATTCAATATTAATAGTACTATAAGAAATAGCCAGAGTTAGAAATCTGAAAACCTTCTGTGAATGTGAAATGCTTGATGTGAGACACTGCCTGTTTGGCCTGGATGTAGACACTGCCTGTTTGGCCTGGATGTAGACCTTGTCTGCTTGGTCTGGATGTAGACCTTGTCTGCTTGGTCTAAGGTCCTCCCACTTTTTCTAGGCATTCTATGATAGTCTGCTTCACTTACGGAATGCCATTCAGAAGAATAGCAATTCCTAAATGAATTCAACCAAAACGTAGTTGCAGTTAGTAAGGAACAAATGGCAACGATGGATTATTAGTAAACAAAGCAAAACAAAACACCCAGATTCTGTGGCTCATGCTATAATCCCGACAACTCGGAGGCTGAGGCAGGAGGATCTTGAATTTGAAACTGTTCTGAGATGTCTAGTGAGTTTTGGGCCATATTGTGAGTCAAGGGAAAGATGTCTCGGTCAAAACCAAATGAAGACAAACTAAAGCAAGGATTTATCAGTCAGTTGTACAAGGTGAGAAGGACACATAAAGTTGAACATTCCATGAGAGTGGTCAAAAGGGAAGTGTGTAAATCTGTGGCGTGCACAGTCCATGTGCCTCTCAGGCCCTCCTTCCTTCATGTCTTAGGAACAAGAACATTAACATGCGGCCATCGGTTTTGATCGAAACAGAACGCATGCATTTTTACCATTGCTGTACGGCTGCCAGAGTCTGAATCTTGTAGCATTGGTCTGGGCGCTATACGGCAAGGGGACGTTCATGAAAAGTATATTGGTCGTTTGTGGGAAGTAGAACTCATCCATCAGGTGCCAGGTGATCCCTCCGTTGACTGAGAACTGTAAGAGGATGGAGTGGGACCTCTCTGGAGTACCTAGGGAGGAGACAGCACAGGCTTACAGCACACCGTGAAGAGGACATGGCCCGCTCCGAGCTGATGCTCGGGGCATCAGCCCGTGAACCTGCTTATATTCACACAGAGACTTGATGATGCTTGGGGCATCAGCCCGTGAGCCTGCTTATATTCACACAGAGACTTTCTGCTCCAAACGCTTCAGTGGTTGTAGGTAAAGCCTGTGTATGAATATATTTTTAAAAGTACACCAAACATAGACAGTCTTTGTCTTATAGGTGTGTGACACACATGCATACGTGTGCCTGCACACATTCTCCCTTCCTTCCTTCCTCCATTCCTCCCTCCCTCCCTTCATCCCTCTCTCCTTCTCCCTCCCTCCCTCCTCCCTGTTTCTTATATGCAGCCGACACTAAGTCAAACCTTATTTATTCTGCTGACATCACAGTTTTGTATATGTTGAAACGTTTAAATCAAGGGAATATAAACAAAAATCACTTGAAAATGCCATATATCTATAGTGACTATTTTTAAAGAAAATTATTAATTATATACGAAAAGTCAGAAAGCCCAAGGAGTGCTTTGGGAGAATTCACATCTGTAAAATAAACCCCAAATGCTCAAAGATTAATAATTTTTAATTTAAAATTCTGGTAGCTAGAAAGCAGCAATGGGGCCATTCAAGGACATGACAGTAGGTTTACCAACCAGCACAGTAACCACATCTTTATTAAACGGCTTAGAGCAGCAGTGATTGTGCCACCATGGCAAGAAGAACTTGAATCAAGATCACTTGAGAACAGTGAAGCTGAAGGGCTATCTTTTTATGGGGGAGAGTTTGTGCACAGGGCAACTTTCATGAAGGAAAAGGGTGCACACCACGGGAGTAGCTTACCTTTGGCTATAAACCGGAGTGAGAACTGCACATACATAGTGTTGGTGCAGTCTAGGTCCCTTGAGATGAGCATTCTTAGTCCCTCCTGAAAACAAGAGAGAAAGGAACCTCTGTCACTTGCATAATTACTTCTGTTTTATATACTTACCCTGGTTAGGTTATAGTGACATGGTTAGAAGTCATGGTAGCTACATACGATGAACATACAATGTTTTGTGTAGCTTAAAAGGACAAAAGGAAGACATCTTCTTCTCTTAATGCCCTCATTTTCTGTGTTTAGGCAACACATTTTTATTACCCTACCTCTGATGCATACTTTTTGTGACTATTATTAAAAGCAGTGCAGAAACAATAGCACTGTCCACTGTTGGCGTTTTCAAAACCGTCTCATTTGATCGCAGCGTGTTGTGGGAGAAGCGAAGAGGAAAAGATGAATCTGCGCCGAGCGCTCCTGTTGGAGGCCAAGAACTAACAGCTAACTTTTCCAGGGCTCCAAGGAGTCTGGGAAACTCACTACCGCTTTGCCTGCCCTGCCAGCCCCAGGAGGTTCTCACGCAGGCTGACACAACGCCCTAGTTGCTCGAGTTAAATAAGGCAGAAGGAAGCCAGGTCCCCATGCCTAGACAGTAACCACTCAGGCAGAGAAACCACACAACGAGGAAAACGACCGCATTAGCTTTAGTCATTTTCTCTGCTAATTAACTATTTCTGGCTGCCCGAGACCGACATCTCAGAAGGCGGGTTTGTTCATGTATGTAGAGGGCTGCGGTGACAGCCAGTACATTTCACTATGCAGAGTCTCGAGGTCCAAACAGGCTTTAGTTTCTCGGCTGAGCCTGCTGAGTTAAGTGACTTTTCAGCAGTCTGTGGCTGAGACAGCACCAAATGACTTCCTAATCATCAACGAAAGGCCAAATGCTGTATTAGTTAGGAAAAGTAAGTTTTCCCCTCTCCTTCATGTTTATCAAAGACGACTGTCACCACCGCCACGAGCAGCTGAAATAGCAAACATACATGAAGTGCCCACAACATGTAGGGTTTTAACAGACACTTTACAAATATTGCTAAGAGGAAGATTATTCTCATGCTGCAAACGAGATAGATAGATAGATAGATAGATAGATAGATAGATAGATAGATAGATAGATAGATAGATAGAGAGAATCATTAGAAATTTCTACTTGAGGGTTACAAGGAAACAGGTTGTGGACAAAGGTGGCATCCACACGTTGTGGACAAAGGTGGCGTCCACGGGTTGTGGACAAAGGTGGCATCCACGCGTTGTGGACAAAGGTGGCGTCCACGGGTTGTGGACAAAGGTGGCGTCCATGGGTTGTGGACAAAGGTGGCATCCACACGTTGTGGACAAAGGTGGCGTCCACGCGTTGTGGACAAAGGTGGTATCCTCAGACATCTCAGAGATTCAGCTAATGTCATTTGCTTACACTGAGACATAGGACTGTTACTGTTCCATCTTGGCTATGGAATGTGAATATGAAATTGTTCCCAAGGGCAGGCCTAGCCACTGTGCAAGGACCCATGTGACACTGCTTTGTCCAGGCCACGACTTGTAACTGAAAAGGCTCCTCCCACGCTGGCTATATTCTAGCTCAGCACTTGATACTGCTGGTCCTTCCTTCCTTCCTTCCTTCCTTCCTTCCTTCCTTCCTTCC